GAGAGAGAGAGAGAGAGAGAGAGAGAGAGAGAGAGAGCATCAGAGTGTGTGTGTGTGTACATGTGTGTGTACATGTGTGTATACATGTGTGTATGCATACCCGTGCACAGAGTCTGTTAAATACATAGAATCTGTAGTAACAGTTTAGAAGTAGAATTGTAACCCAAGTCCATATATTTTATTCTGCTTTAGAGACAGATTTAACTTCAGAACCTTGCCAGACATTTGTGTGTAAAAGATGGGGGTGGTGGTTGCGGCGGCAGCAGCAGCAGCAGCATCAAGGAGACATAATAGCTCATATGAGAAAAGGAAAAGCATAGCATGGAGGGCATTTTAACATGGTAGCAAAAAGTCCTGTGCATTTTAATAGCTTCAGAGGATTAAGTGTCTGATAGCAGAGTGGAGTGATTGCCATTTCTAGTGATACCTAAAGTAAGAAGAAAGTCTTGATTTCTGTTCAGTGTCTTTTTTTTTTTTTTTAAAAGGAGGAATGACTGTAATTCATTGTAGGGAAATTTTCATCAAATGGTTAAAAATAAAAGAGTTTTACAAAAGTAAACAAAACAAAAATTTACTCTTGCATTTAGTGACTTTCTGAACATCTAGATACTTTTCTAGGCTCTGGCGGACATAGTGAGGAACAAGATAGATGAGCTCTCCACTTTTGTGGGCTTTAGTTATCTGGAAAATGCTTAATGTGGAGAACTTCATTTTCTGATGATGCCAGACAAATGAGTCATTTTTGTGTTTGGGAAGTGCAAATAGAATTTGAAGTGTTCTAATTTGTTTCCACTTTAAGTGGAAATAGGAAATCATCTGAAGACATAATTATTTTGAGTGAAATAATTTCCAGTAGGTGCAAAAGTGAAATGAAAAGTCTGAATTTAGACCTGCCATTAAATTTAATAGTATTTGAAATAGTATCTAAACTGCTGTGTTGAGGAAGTTTGGCTGAAAAGTGGATTTTGTCATGTTAGCTATAAAAATGGAAAGGCTTTCCTTAGAGGTAGAAACTAGGTCCAGAAGTAATACTTCTTCCTGTATTTCACTGGCACAGTCAATGTAGTCAAGAAATATTATGTAACATTGACTTCTTGGAAATAAAGTAACTTAAAGAACACAGATAACACATTTAAAATCCTTCTCAGTGTTTTTGTAAAACTCTTCTGAGGACCCCTGACTTTCCTGAGGATTATATTTCAGCAGAATTGGCTGTACAATGGATCCCATTTTCTCAGTGATTTTCATTAAGTCAGATATTTTTACACAGAAAAAGATTTCCTTAATACTTTAGAGTGAAAACTTAGGGTAAAGATTAAGTTGGCGGGCAGTGCTGGTTAGAGAGTTCCGTGTTGGAAGTATCACAGCAGTTTATGCTTATGTTCCTTGGAGTGTGTAGTGTAGGAGAGGAGTTCACAGTTCTTTGGAATATTGTGTCCCAAGTTCTGCTCTCTGCCATAGCTCTTTAAGGTATTGACAGATTTCTTAGTTGTCTCTAGCAAGAACTCTGAGAGCTGGACCAGGGACATCCTTGGTACAACCATTTTACTTCTTGAATTTGTTTCGGGCAATTCATGTTTTATTTCCTAACCTATGGAACTATAAAGTGCTCTGCATTGCTTTGTTAGTTTATTACTACCCTTGGAAAGGTTTTTTTTTTTTTTTTTCTCTTAAGAACAATACATTTAATACATTCACAGGATTCCAAATGAAAACAATATTACTCATGCTATATGTTTTGAGTTTTCCTTGGACAACACAAAAAACACAGTACTCAACCTTGCATTTTCACCAGAGGAATGTGAAATCTCATTTTGACGCATATACTCTCATTTTGATAGTAGGTTTTCCCTCACTGGTTAACTTGCTTTGCAGGGATTCAGTCAGATGGTTGCTAACTCTGATATATGATGACAGTAATCACTTACTTGGACCTGTATCTCATCAGTAAAGGGAAGGTTCACTGAAAAAACTGAATGCTAGTGAGGAGTATGGAGATGAAAGGAAAGTCACTCACGGGCTCTTATTTGCAAATGTTTTGGTGATTGAACCACATCTTTGCTATTATAGGATCATATTGCTGAATGATGGACTAGAAAGTGGAGCTGCCATCAACAGTGTATTTATTTTGTGTATTCTTAAACCTGTTTTTACAGTAGTATAAGGTTATATTCTGGGCCCCCAAGCAAGAGTTTCAATGAGGGATGCTCTTAATTTTTCTGAACCTCACTGTAAAAGACTTTACTGAAGACAGTATTGGAGACCCAGGATAATGTGTTTACTTTGGAATTACTTAAGCTTAGTAACCTTAACAAACTCAGTGAGCTTGAAAGTAACAATTACACTTTTATAAGTCCCATACAGCTCTCTTTTGTAATGACCCGAGGAAACACTTATGGTTCCACTGATTCATCTCCTGGGGACCATTGGTTTTCCACTGGTCTCTGGCCAGTCC